TTCATCCAGTATTATATACTTTGCTATAAATATAGGTGTGGTATTTAAAAAAACAACAAACCGAAACCTAAATTATGTTAAACACAAAAACATGCTTGAGAGAGAAGCTTACTACTGAGCAGTAACTTAAATTGGGGTGGGTGAATGGGGCAGTAACTTAGTTGATCTCTGCTAAGTGGCACACACTGTTTGGCATACCAGCCTTGTTAGCTAGACATAAACAAAAAAGAAAACAAAGGATTTGGGCCATGTCCAATCCATCTTTGATATCAGCCTCTAGCTGTCAGGTGTCTAAATGTGAAGCTGCATGCCCTTCAGCTGCTGAAATGGAGGAGTTTCTTTACTTCCTAGGCTCCTACTTTGTGCAAGGTATAGTCGTGGGATTAGATCTCTGTCTCTTTCTTCACCTTTCATTTGGAGATAGTGATATTACTGTATTATGGGATGCTGTAATCAAAAACTTAAGTATTTAACTCATTTTTGGGTTAATGTGCAGCTATTGGATCCACTCCACTGCATGGGGCATATAAGAGAGATAAGGGACTGTTGAACACTGCATTGGATAGACATAAAATGATTTGCTGCATCTTTCCATGACAGGTGCATTTAAAGGTCAGTTTTTAAAAGGACCGCAAAATGACTTCCATGTGGTTGGAGACTGTTTAAAATAGGTACTGTTAGGAATCCTGATTGGATACAGATATGAAAGGTTTTTGCATTCTTTGATTAGCCTGCTGAGTGGACTCATTTAAAGGAAACAAAATGTAGTTAAATATAAAGTCTCATAGGTACTTTGGCAATGTCATCATTCCATACATGTAATCAATTGCAAGAATATATTGATTTGGTATCTATTGATGTGTCATGCCAGTTTCACTTGTGAATTTATAACAGTTGGACATTTTATGTTATATCATGCACACACATGTATATGTATAAATGCTTCATTTTACAAAATTATACAGTACCTTTTGGCTGCTAGGTAGCAAAATTTACACTTTTTGCAGAACCAGTTATATCAGAGTTCCTTACCCCCCCCAAGTAAAGGAACAGGTATTGGGACTATGAAGTAGCAGTCTGTATAGCAAATAGTAATACAAACACATAATCTAAAATATGTGTAAAATATTTGTACATGAATTGCATTATCTTTGAGCTTTTTTTTTCTTATTTTTGACATATTTATAATGTGACTAGTATTTGATTCTCTGTCTTGTAAGACTGTCTTCACGTGGGCATGTGTTCATTTTTAAAGCATGATTCCCACCATGTGGTTTGGGACTGACTAAAGTTCCCATCTGACTGTACTGGGGAAAGTTGTGAGTAAAGAATGTAGCATGTGGTTCTGTATGCTGTTTACATATCTGCCGAGAGTGAAGGCAGTGGCACAGATGGCTTTATTAGATAATCTTACTGAATTCACACATCTCACTGTGATGAATGTGAATTATTTTTAGAAACTTTTATTTGTGTGACCTTGCAATGGAGGAGAGTAGACTTGTGTAAGGGACTGAAAAAAATAATATTTAGGGCAGTGCTTGTAGAAAGAGGAAGCATGAGGCAGACAAGCAGCGAGATGTGAGAACCCTTGGAGAAAGCCCAGTCTCTCTCTTACAGAAAAATGTAGTTGTCTTTGTCCTTTTTGCCTTCTGGCATCAGATTAAAACATCTTTTAAGACGAGAGACATGCACCCCCAGCACCTCTTTTGGACAAATTCTTAGTGCCTTTTGATGAAAGTAGATCCTGCAAGAGACTTTTTGTATGGCTTCTGCCTTTTTTACTTCAAAACAATTGTCCTTAATATTCATGCAAGCTTCTAATATTCTGTTAAAAGCAAAAAATGTTGTGTGTTTGTTTTTAAAATATGCGCTGATGTTTTCTTTATTTTCTTAATTATTAGGGTATGATGTTTCTTTAGTTAGTTCATGTACTCGTGGTGGCTCTCCTTTACGTATGTGATGCAATATTCCATAGTAACCAACTGAGATACCGGAGTTAAGGACTTTGAAATTAAGCAAACCCTTAAGCAGCCCAAGAAGCTGCAAGATGAATACAAAGTAGATCTGCTTTGTCCATCCCTGTTTGTATATTTGACTTTTTGCTGCTTATCATTTTAAGCAGCATTTAGCTAGTCTGCTGATGAGAGGAATAGAAATAGCTAAGACTCTTGGCACATGTTAACTTCATGGTGTGATGGGATCTGTTCCCTGATGCCAACAATTGTGCCTTCTGCTGTGCCACGTGTGCCTGGTAGGACATGTGATTTTGGGATTAGGGATCAGATACTAGTTATGCCATTACTTCGTGTCAGTGCAGAGAGAGCCTAGGATCATGATCCTTGGACTGTCCCTGCATTGGCAAGTAGAAAACTGGGTGTCTGGTTACCTCATGCGGACCTGGGACTGAGACCAGTGATCAGCTGACCATTAATCCTGAGACCACAGTGGGGTTGGTCCCAAAGCCTGCAGTGCAGATGCCATCAGGCTGCATGATGGGGACCCTGCCATATGTTCAGTTTAAGGTGTGGTTGGTAGAAACCAGACACAAAATTATTATGCATGGGTTTTGGAATAATTTGGTGGCTTATTCCCTGTTTTATCAAGCCATTAATTGCCTGAATATGTTGCTGGGTTACTATTTACTGGTTAATCACATGTTAAGTGTAACATCTGCAAGAGGCCCAAGAGAACAATTTTAAGAGACTTGATTGTGTTACAAAATCTCATTTGGACATCATGAAATCCACTTCAGGTAGTCATTCCCATCAGCTAAAAAGGAAAGACCTTCCTCACCTGCTATAGAAACTTTAGAAGCTTTGATCACAATTTAAAATGAATCTGCAATTATGTAGTGGCTTTGGAATGATCTAAATGCCCTAAATAATTACAGTAGCATGAATGCATAGGTTAACTCATTTTAGGAGGGCTTCTTTCAGGTTTGCTGTGAATTGCTCTGTTTATATAACATGCATGCAAGTGCCATTCTGCTTAGTGCAGGGTGCTGTGCACAGCACAAGATTACTGTCAACTTTAACCAGTCCCTGGATCTGTAGCATAATGAACCCAAATTCTGTAGCGAGACCCCTCGATTTCTGTAACACCAGCAGCTTGACACAATTCGGTTCTGCTAAGAAGTGTACATAGAAAAAAAAGACTTTCATACAAGTCCTGGAACTTAATATTTTTACAAAATCTTTGATTTTAGAGTTGTTCTGTTCCCCTTCAGGGAGCTGCCTTTCTCCTCATTTACCATAGGACCCAATAATGATGACATAAATCATAATTTAGGTTGTTGGTGCATACTTCCTAACTACTGGGTGACGAGGGCTAAGTACAGACAGTCTAAAAGCCCAAGGCTGATTCGATTCAGTCTTTGCAGGTTAGTCTCAGCTGCAGAGATTAAATTGAGAAACAACTGGACACACATTTACTTTTGACTCAGGAAATACAGCCACATCCCCCAAGATCTCTGGAATTTGCAGTCCAGACTCAGAGCAGCAGGACTCTTCCTGCTTCCAGGCATGGGCAGGGGCTGCTTCCAGATGTCTCTGGGACTTGTAGTCCACAGTTGCAGCCAGCAGTAAGTTTGTGTGTGGGAAGTTTAACCCCCCTCCCTGGCCCTCGCAGACCCCATCTGGGGTTTGTTGGGGGGGGGGGGGGGGGGGGAGGCGCGCGCCCGCC